CAAAGCTACTGATTTGAGAGAAAAGGAGGCGTATAGGAAGTTAGGAAAAGTTTAGGAGTGTTCTGGGAGTGAGAAAAATTTTTTAGAAATTTTTGGCGAAAATTTTTTTTGGAAATTTTTGGGAAATTTCCAGATTCCGACGAAAATTCCGACGAAGTTTGAATTTTCTGGCAAAAATTCCGGCCAACCTTGAAGTTTTCGGTGACCTGCCCAGTTTCCGACGAAGAATCCCAGAAATCGATGATCTTCCAACCAACTTCCGGTGAAATTTCCAGATTTCGGTGACATTTTCCAGAATCCGGCACCGATGTTCTTCAGTTTTTAGAGAGAAGGGAGAGGAAAAGGGAAGAAGAGAGAGAGAGGGAGAAGCGTTCTGTCGAAAAAACGAAGGGGATTGCCTTTTATACCCTCCCAAAACGACGTCGTTTTGGCTTTAAATTAATCAGAAGATCCGCGCGTTTTGCCGAAACCCGACCCGATCCGAGCGTCGACCCGATTCTGACCCGCGCGTGCCTGCCCCCTCCGAGCCGAGCCGAGCCACGCCAAGCCACTCCCCCCGAGCCATTTTCTCTTCCTTGAGTCGAGCTGAGCCGAGCCGCGATTCGAGCCGCTCCAAGTTTTTTTTTTTTTCTTTTCTTTTCTTTGAATGTTTTTTATTTGTTTATTTATTTTTTTATATTAGGTTTATTTAATATTCTTTTTATCTTAGTTTTATTTTTATTTTTATTTTTTTACTTTTCTTTATTTTTTATTATTTATTTATATTTTTTATTATTCTATTTTCTTCAAATAAAAATCAAATTTTCCAAAAAAAAAATATTTTTAGGAAAAGTTGAAAGTATCAATTTTCCTTAAAAGAAAAATAAATTTCCAAAAAAATATTTTTAGGGAAAAGTTGAAAGTATCAATTTTCCTTAAGAATAAATTTCCAAAAAATATTTTTAGGGAAAAATTGAAAGTATCAATTTTCCTTAAAAGAAAAATAAATTTCCAAAAAAAATATTTTTGGGGAAAAGTTGAAAGTATCAATTTTTCTCAGAAATAAATTTCAAAAAAATATATTTTTAGGGAAAAGTTGAAAGTGTCAATTTTCCTTAAGAATAAATTTCCAAAAAATATTTTTAGGGAAAAGTTGAAAGTATCAATTTTCCTTAGAAATAAATTTCCAAAAAATATTTTTGGGGAAAAGTTGAAAGTATTAATTTTCCTCATAAATAAATTTCAAAAAAAAATATTTTTAGGGAAAAGTTGAAAGTATCAATTTTTCTTAAGAATAAATTTTCAAAAAATATTTTTAGAGAAAAGTTGAAAGTATCAATTTTCCTTAAAAGAAAAATAAATTTCCAAAAAAAATATTTTTAGGGAAAAGTTGAAAGTATCAATTTTCCTTAGAAATAAATTTCCAAAAAATATTTTTGGGGAAAAGTTGAAAGTATCAATTTTCCTCAGAAATAAATTTCAAAAAAAAAAATATTTTTAGGGAGAAGTTGAAAGTATCAATTTTCCTTAGAAATAAATTTTCAAAAAAGGGGTTTTTGAGGAAAAGTTGAAAGTATCAATTTTCCTCGAAAATAAAAGTTTTCAAAAAATATTTTTGGGGAAAAGTTGAAAGTATCAATTTTCCTTAGAAATAAATTTTCAAAAAAAAAGGTTTTTGAGGAAAAGTTGAAAGTATCAATTTTCCTTGAAAATCGAAATTTTCAAAAAATATTTTTGGGGAAAAGTTGAAAGTATCAATTTTCCCTACAAAAAAAAATCATTCTTTCCTCCCTTTCTATCTTAATTTTGATTTTGTTTTTTTCTTTAAATAATCCAAAGACGGAGCCTCTGCAAGTGAAACAGTAGTTTTTCTTGCATACTCTTGAGGTAAGGAAATTTTCTCAATTTTCTGCTAAAAGTATTAGAGTCAATTGAGAAAAATTTTCAATAATTAATTACTTGGTAAAATTTTAAAGCTTTTGGATAACACAAATTTAAGCTGGTACCATCTTTTGATGGGCGTTGTGAGGGTGCTATAACCTTCCTCACACGTAACCGAACTCTCGAACCCTGTTCTGGTTTGTAGACCTGAACCTATTCTTTTAGGGACCCTTAAACTTAGGTGTTCCCTGAAAGGATAGATTCTTTAGGTGGCCAATCGCACCTAGATAAAAAAGATTGGTGGCGACTCCCAAAAGTCAATGTCTAGCGATAGATCCCCGGATCTAGACGTTACGACAGCTTGGCGACTCCACTGGGGAATTTGAGAGTCAGGCCAGCAAATTAATTTGTGTTATCCAAAAAGCCTAATAAAATTGGAACTTTTTGTATATATGTGTTATTATTCCATTCATGTTTATTCACTTTGTTGATTAATGTCATTCATATGCATGTGCATAACATGAGCTCTACACCCGAGCTTCGTCCCTCTAGGAGGGAGTAAAGTACCTATTGCTTTCGTGAGGTCTAATGCCTCTGCAGTGGCTAGCGAAATACTCCCACTCAAATTGAACCCTTTCCACTTGTAGCCTGTAATGGGTGAGGATTAGGGTGCCTTACTAGTCTGTGATGGACAGGGATGTAAGGAGCAATTTGAGGACCTTTAGACTTTGACCTTAAACCACATATAGTGAACCTTAGAAGTGCCTACACCTAAGATAGAGCCCTTTCTACCCAATGATAGATATGCCCTAAAATTAGGACACAAAAAGGGTGTTTATCTAATCATTTTAATTGCTTAACTTTGTGTATTATTTTTATCATATGTAACATTATGCATCAACATCACTTACGTTTCATCCACGAAACTAACTATGTTGTTTGTCTGATTGTATGCATATGTATTCTTTTCATGACCATGTTTTAACACAATCATTTGCATCCATTTCATACTAGATTTCATTTAGAAAAATGTGCATTTCATTTGAGCACCATACATAAAGCATAACATAACATTTCTAATCATAAGTATGGTACTCAAGGTCCCAAGATAGCTCCATCTAGCGAAAACCCTGCTCATCCATACAACACAAGATCCAGAGCAAGGCAAATAGAGGAGGAAAGTTCTCATAGATTTGAAAAGCTAGAAAAAGCTCAGGAGAAGATTGAAAATGAACTTAACAAAATTCTGGAGGCTCTCAATAATATGAATAAAGGAAAAGGAGTTGAAGGAAGTACAAACCAGCAAAAAGTGGCTGACCCATTGTACCTTCCAAGTTTTGGCCCATCTCAAGCTCAGTCTGCCCAAGAGGTCCCCACCACAAACTTTTGCATATCCACACATGTCCTGGAATGCCATCAAGCTTTCA